ACACTTGAACAACGAAGAAAATTATCCAATCAATCATCAAGTGATATATTGAGCTATACACGATTAAATTCAAGTCTGAGTGAGAGAAAAATTGTATTTCATTGTAAATCTTCTACTGAGTGTAGAAAAGGGGTAGAGTAACTGGAGAGAGTGAAAAACCCAGTTGGAGTGTAGCTTTGTGCATAGCACTCGGTTGTAACGGACAAAGTAACAAGGGGAGCTTGTGAAAACCCGGTGAGAGCGTAGCTTTGTGCGTAGTTCTCGTGGTGTAGGAGTACAGCTTGGTGCGAAGTACTCGGGAAGGCGGAGTAACAAGAGGAGCTTGCGAAAAACCTTGGTGGAGTGTAGCTTTGTGCGAAGCACTCGGAGAAGTGTCGCTGGGCACTTATTCACTATTGTATCTGGGTGATCCAAGAATAGTGAATTTCCTCATTGGAGTGAAAGGAGAAGAGTGGACTAGGAGGATTACACCACCTCTGAACCACTATAAATCTCTCTCTCTATTTACTTACTGCTCATATATATTTCGTGCATGCTTATATTATCTGTGAACTAACCCGTTACGGTTTATTGCGTATCTTTATCTGTCTGGGTTTGATAGTTCCCTCGTTTGCATGCAAGTGAAATTTTATATACATCATCCTACATCTATATTAAGTGTTTCTAACGTGATGCATGTATAAAATCTCTCCTGAGCACGACACAATTTAAAGCATAACACTTTGCCGTTACAATTCCGCTGTGCACACTCTAAGTTATTATACTTGTTTATGCTTGTTACTTAGAGTTGAAGTTACCAAAGTGTTGTTTGCTAAAGAAGTTTGAAAAGTTAGAGAAGTCTATTCACCCCCCCCCCCCCTCTAGACTTCTCGCCACCCTTTCGGGACCAACATAAATCCTTTTGTTTCCTGTATAAACTTCATAAACTTCTTGTTTTATATTTGGCAATTTATTGCATTAATGTGATATCAATATTCATCTCTAAATTTTCGGCTTATGTTGGTGTAAAAATGTGCGATAAAAGAAGTGTTTTTTAATTTAATCTCTAGTCTGGACTTAACTGGCACTTGAGCATCATATTAGTCGTATATAATTGTATCTTAACTAAGCATGAAGAAAATAGAGATAAAAAACATTTTTTTTAAAAAAAGAAGATACATTGTGATGTTACCTTTGTTCTCCAATCAATGTTTCCTCTTGTTGACTTCTTCATGGTTGGTGAACTGTTTATTTCCTATTTAATCTGCTGGGATCTTAGTGCATCCATAATAGTTATTTTTTTTTTGTGTGTGATTTTTGAGGAGTTTTTGTAAGTGTCATTAATCAAAGATTTGACCCATTAATTAAACATCCGACTCGCCTCACATCTTGAGACCCGTGAGACAATCTCATACAAGTGTTACCCTCCTTATTATTATTATTATTATTATTATTATTATTATTATTATTATTATTATTGTTGTTGTTGTTGTTGTTGTTGTTATAATACATTCTATCATATATGCTAATATTAATTATGCTTTAACTAATACATGTAATGACTTGGTACACGGATATCATAATTATGTTTGACAGCTAAAGAACTTCATTTGGTGTTGGACATGGAGGCTAGCAATTTGGGCTCAAAGGAGTCTATAAAATTTTAGGTATGTATACTACTGGCAATGTACAATGTATCTATGATATTATTCATTGATCATAGTTGATCTCACATATTTACATAACCAAGTGAAAAAAACACTACACATATAAGAGAACAACATGGAATTGAATATACCTACATAAGACAGTGATTACATTATAGTACTAAGAAACTTACTAATGAATTTATTAAATGTGTTCGCAAAAGACAAACTTGATATTGTATTTATACTCCATATATGAAGGTTTGAATAAGAATGTATTATTGAAAGAGAATAATACAACATAATATATAGAGCTATACACCAGGATTCTAAGGGAAGTTACAACAGATTGCATGCTCAGTTTAAGACTAACAAAATAGAGAAAGAGTAGGACAACATCAATAAATAATACTAATTATAATTAGTCCTTAATACGCCCCCGCAAGATGGTGGATCCGTTGGAGACACCCAGCTTGGACCGAAAAGGAAGAAACATGGCACGACCCAATGATTTGGTAAGAACATCTGCAATTTGTGACTTTGAAGGAATATGACAAACATACAAAGAACCATCAGCCACTTATTCACGCACAAAAAATAATCCAAAGCAAGATGTTTCATCGTAGAATGAAACACCAGATTGCGGCAAACATAAGTGGCTCCTATATTATCACAGAACAGAGTAAAAGGCCGAGGTTGCGGAATGCCCAACTCAGTTAGTAAATTACAAACCCAATACAACTCTGCCGCACCATTAGCCAGCGCCCTGTATTCAGCCCCCGTAGAAGAACGGAAGACCATTTTCTGACGAGTAGACTTCTACGAGATGATATTTGGACCGCAATATATAACGTACGCTGTAGTAGAACGACCCCCATCGGACACACCACCCCAATCAGAATCAACAAAAGCTGTTAACTAGAGACCTGTAGAGCGTCGTAACACCAATACATAATGACAGGTACCCTTCAAATATCGCAGCAAATGCTTCGCAGCCTGCTTAGTGCACTGCACCAGGGGCATGTATAAATTGAGATAGACGGTTAACCGCATACGCAACGTGTAGACACGTGATGGACAAGTATTGCAACAAGCCAACGAGCTTCCTAAACTGAGTGACATCCAAAACTTCAACAGAGCTAGCTGCGGGTAACACAACATCCTTACTCATAGGTGTTGAAACCGGCTTAGCACCATCCATATTAAACCGTGAAAGAATATCTGAAAGATATTGGCTTTGAGAGAGAAACAACCCAGATTCCACATTTATTAATTCAACACCCAGCAAATGATGAAGTGCACCCAAGTCCTTTAGTGAGAACCGAGAGGCTAAAGACGAAACAAATGAATCCAAAGAGACATTATTATTTCCTGTGAGTATTATATCGTCAACATAGATGAGAAAGTAAACAACAACACCATTTATATCATATATAAAGAGAGAAGCATATGCCAATGCCTTGCGAAAACCAATACCAACCAATACTCAACAGATAATTGGAGAGCTCCAAATACCAAGCCCGGAGGGCCTGTTTGAGGCCATAAATAGCCTTTTTCAATTTGCAAATGTACCGAGGATGATTTGGATCAAGATAGCCCATGGGCTTCTCCATGTACACTTCTTCATGCAAAGTGCCATGAAGAAATGCATTATTGATATCAAGCTACCGCAGCACCCAGCTGCAGCTCAAAGCAATAGAAAGAACAAGTCGGATCGTCACAGGTTTCATGACTGGGCTGAATGTTTCAAAATAATCACGCCCGGGCTCTTGCAGGAACCCCTTAGCCACCAAACGAGTTTTATACCTATCAACCGCACCGTTTGGCTTCCGCTTAACCCGAAACACCCATTTGTAACGAATGGGAACATGGTTATCACGCGGTACGAGCTCCCAAGTATTATTCCGAATTAGAGCTGTGTATTCATCATCCATAGCTTGCCGCCATAATGGGTCCTTAAGAGCTTACGGGACCGTCGACGGCTCAACAGAAGAAGGTAGAGGATGAACAGTGGAATGATTACAAACTTGTCGTTATAATATTTTGGATTTGGCCGACGAGTCCGGACTGGACGAGAACAATCCTGCAATTCATGTGATGGTACAACAGATACTGGACCAAAACATTCCTGTGAAGGATTAGTAGGACTTGAACGGGAATAAACAGTACATGACTGTGAGCCTGAGGTGTCTGTATAGGGAGCACATGGAGAACCGCGTGGTGATAACGGAGCTGTTGGTGGTGGTGAAGGCAGAAGACCTTGAGGAGGAGTTACATGTGGAGAATGAGCAGACAAGACCTGTGAAGATGCTGAAGAGCTTGTCACAGTGGGTGTTGGAACAACAGGATGTAACACCACTGGTGGACTCAAAATGACAGGAGCCTGCTCATTCCCTGACACTATATGACCTGAAGAACTAGTAGCAACAGGGTGGTAATATGGAAAAACATTATCAACAAATTTATGCCGGGAAATATATACACGGCGAGTCACTGGATCAAGACACTTAAAAGCCGACTGAGTTGTAGAGTATCCAACAAAAATACAAGACACAGACTGAGGCTGCAGCTTAGTTTTCATATATGGCCTGAGCCAGGGATAACACAGACAACCGAAAGGTGTTATTTTCTGGTAGTTAGGAGAAGACTGAAACAATACCTGGAATGGAGACTGATTGGCTAGGACAGGAGTAGGCAACCGGTTGATCAGATAGACTGCACATTGGAAAGCATATGATTAGAATGTTAGAGGTAAATTTAAGCGATGAAGCAATGAGAGATCTGTTTCGATGATGGCACTACGGTGCCCCGGTTTACACAGCCGCCAGGGACGCCACATATTCACCACCTGGCCTACGCGGACGATGTTATTATCTTTAGTACGGCCAGGTTGGGAGCTATTGAGGTCGTAATTGGGGCATTAAAGGAGTACGAGGAGATCTCGGGACAGTTGGTGAGCTTTCAGAAGAGTGCGTTTTACATGCACCCTCGTACTCCGGCCCACGAGATTGAGCAGATTTGCCGGGCAACGGGTTGTGTGCATAAACAGTTTCCTTTCACATATTTGGGTTGCCCGGTGTATATAGGCCGTAAAAAGTGTATCTATTTTACCTCGGTGATTGATAAAGTTAAGGCTAGATGCTTGAGTTGGCAGCGTCGACTGCTCTCGAAGGGCGGGAAGGCAATCTTGATCTCTTCAGTCTTGCAGGCCATACCGTTGCACTTATTCTCGGCCTGCGCACCGCCTAAGCAGGTCATACGGGATTTGGAGAGATGTTATGCGAGTTTTTTCTGGAAACAGTCAGGGGCGCCCGGTACCATTGGAGTTCGTGGAAAACCCTCTCTCGTCCTAAGAAGGAAGGGGGGGCGGGGTTCATGGATTTGGACTTGATGGTAAGGGCGGCCAGTGCTAAATTGTGGTGGAACTTCCGGACAGATCATACCTTATGGTCGGACTTTATGAGGGCGAAATATTGCAGTCGGGTTCACCCGGTTGCTAAGTTGGTTCAGAATAGAGATTCGCACACCTGGAAGAGGATGCTGGCGGTACGCGATGAGGTTGAGGGGGTTCTGACTTGGCGGTTGTTCCAAGGCCGGGTTAATTTCTGGTGGGACAACTGGTCGGGTCTGGGCCCACTTGGCAGGCTCTATCCACACCGGAGGGTTTCCTACTCCCGGGAGTTGCTTCTAGACTATGTGCGGGATGGCCAGCTTGATCTGACAGACCACGATGACTTGGCATATGCAGGGATTAGGGCGGACCTGTCCCGCTTGGGGCAGGGCCCGCGTGATATCCCACTCTGGACCGTGGCGTCCGACGGTATGTTCTCTTATTCCTCTGCTAAGGCCTTTCTTAGGCCTGCTTTGCCCACTGCACCGGACCCGCTCTTAGCTAAGTGTTGGCGCAAGCACCTTCCTTTTAAGGTGTCCTTCCTGGTTTGGAGGGTGTTCCGAGGGCGGCTTCCCACGGATGACATCTTGGCCCATTTCGGTCATGCGATCGTCTCGAGGTGTCGGTGTTGTCCATCCCCGGTCCCCGAGTCTATTGATCACATTTTTTATTCTGGGGAAACAGCAAGAGCTGTTTGGAGATATGTTTTGGCGTCCCTCGGCCTCTACTCGCGGCACCGGAGTCTTAGGACTTTGATTGCGGGATGGGGTCGGGCGGGGGCGCGTAACCCTCTTTTGTCTTTTGTTGTTTGCAGGTTGCCGTATCTGGTGTTGTGGGAGCTGTGGAAGCACCGTAATGGGTGCATGTACGGCCGAGACACACCCAGCGTTGCACGGGTGATGCATGGGGTGGCAAAGGGAGTGGCGGAATGTCTGTTTAGGCGTTGGCCCATGCAGCATATCCTGCCCTCTAACTGGAGGACTATTGTGGCATACTTGGAGGCACATGTGCCGAGGCGTGTTATTAGGTCGGTCAGGTGGTCCCCCCCGGCTGCCGGGGCGTTAAAGATCAATCTTTCTCGGTCTTCGGCGGCTGGGGGGGCTGCGGCCGTGGTGCGCAACCAGGAGGGTGGCTTTTGCTACGGGGTTGCGTGGTCTGGCCACGGGGAGCACGCCCGGGGCATGTTCCGGGTCCTTTTCTCTTGCCTGGAATGGTGCCTGGCCGGGGGAACTACTTTGATTGATATAGAGTCCACTTGGGCGGAGTTGGCCAGCTACGTTGATATCTCTGCGCGTCCGCCGTGGATTCTAGATGATGTGGTGACCAGACTTCGTTTCCTGTGTTCTTGTGGAGTGGTTACTGCTGCTGTGTGTCCGTCTAGGGCCAATATGCCTGCACAGGCGCTAGCTGACTGGGCGGTGGATAGGCCGGGGGAGGCCATCTTTCGGAGCCTCAATGATCTGCCACGTAGGGTCCGTGCTTTACTGATACATGATGATGTGCCCTATGTGTTTTTTGATATTGATGATCCCCCGTGATTGTACTTGTACTTTTTGCTCAGATGGAAATATGGAAAAAAGAAAAAACAGAAAAAAGAAAAAGAAAAAAAAAAAGAAAGAAGGGAAAATAAATAAAAAATAAAAAATAATAAAAAAAGAGAGAAGAAGGCAAAAAAGAAAAAGATAAAGAATGGAGTGAAAAGAATTGGAGTGTGAAAGATGAGAGTTGGGAGGGAAAGAAAGAGTGGATGGGAGTCAAAACAGTGAGTGTGAGGTTCTGGAGACCGGGAAGCCCTGCTATGCAGTGCTGAGTCTCAACGTAAGGTGCTGGCGGTACAACAGGGCACCCTAGTCCGGGCTGAACGGTGTGCCGGACAGGATTATCAAATCCGTTGACCTGGTCAGGCTTGCTGCTGGCCAATAGTAGCTGAGTTCCTTCTGGACTCCGGGGGGTCGGGCTTTTACTTTGGGGGTTGCTTTTTGTTCGCGTCAGCCCGTTATAAACTTAAACACTCACCCGAGATAGATGTGATAGTTGGGTCATGGGAACAGGATGCTTGCTTGTTCTATCTTGTTTCTATTTTTGCAGGTGCTGTTTCTTTGACCTCGGAGGCATGAACTGGTCTTGGGCTCTTTTTGGTTTCGCCTTTGCAGGCATCTTTGGAAAAGACCGGGTCTCAACGCCGATGCAAGCGGTAAAAAATTGCATCGTAGCCCGGGCTGAACGGTGGCCGGGTAGGTGTTTTTCAAATCCGTTGGCGGTAGTCCAGGCTTGCTGCTGGCCCATAGTAGCTAATCCCGTTAGGGTTGGTTCTGGTTCGTGCTGGTGCTGATCGGGAGTTCTGCTATTGGCTGCCTTGTGCTGCGTTGATGATTTATTGGCCCGGGATCTACCTGGTACTTCTGTCTCAGGACGGCGTCCCATTACTTGACTTAGGCCTGCGTGCCATTGTTAGCTGCTTTGTCCTGCGTGCTATTGTTATCTGTGCACTATTTATTGTATGGCATGCCGGGTTCTACAGGGCAGTCGATGGCGTTCCGGGAGGTGTTACAATTGTGGTGCATCCCGGCTAGGCGGCATTATGGTGTGTAGTCGCTGTAGTGCAACTGGCTGGGGGGGGCACGTTTGTGACACGCGAGGCATCTATCCTCGCTACTTGAGATTTTGGATTACATGATGGGCTGGGATGCAGTTAGGCTGTACGTGCATATTTTGGAGCAGCATCTCGGTCTACTTGCTTGATTGACATACTCCTGCCTGCGATTAGTTAATGTTAGCTACCGTAGGACCTGGGGGCATCCATGTTAGAGCCCCGGGGGCCACTTTATGTTATCTCGTTTTACTTTGCGGTTCTTTACTTAGTTTATTTTAGGATTTAGGCCATGTGGGGCCTAAGTCCGTTCAGACTTTGTACTGGCTTCGGCCTTGCTTTTATTATTAATAAAGTTCTTATTCAAAAAAAAAAAAAAAAAAAAAACAATATGGTGATGACGCCTTTCAGCTGTACCATTGTGTTCAGGAGTGTGAGGGGGAGTTGTAAAGTGAGAAATACCATGCAGATTAAATAGTGGAATAAGTTTCATGAACTCTCCACCATTATCAGAAAATATGGAAACAATTTTATGACCAAAAAACTTTTCCACTAATCTTTTATATTGAGGAAAAATAACAGAGACATCTGATTTTTTTCTTAGAGGATACCACCATATGTATTTGGTGTAGAAATCTACAAAAATAACATAATATAGGTATCCATCAACAGATTTTTGAGTGGTTCCCCATACATCTGTATATATAAGTTGAAGAGGTTTTGTACTGAACATAGAATTATCAAAAAATGGAAGCTTGTGACTTTTATTAATTTTACATGAAATACAGGAAAAATTATTGAGAGCATTGGAATAAAACAGAATACTAAGACGATTGAGAATATGCCTTAGAGTTTTATTTGACGGATGCCTGAAGCGATGATGCCAATCTGGAAGAGATGTGGAAACTTTAACGTTTAATTGTGGATGTGTAGACACAGAAGCACAATAAACATTATGATTGTTTCCCCCCTTGAGTAACGGCGCCCCCGTCACGAGATCCTTCACAAGGAAACAAGAAGGAAAAAATTCAACCGAAACTTTGTTAGTTTTACAAAGCTGAGAAATAGAAACAAGATTTTTTTTTTTTAATTTAGGAACATATAGTACTCTAGATAACGAAAGATCACGACCATTGGTAGGAAAAGTAGTATGACCAGTGTGAGAAATGTTAAGACTTTTACCATCACCCAAGAAAATTTCATTCGGGCCACCGTAATCCGAAAAATTCTGTAGGGAAGCTAGATTTGATGTAGCATGATGGGATGCGCCACTATCAAATAGCCATTGAGTAAAATCAATTGGTGTTGTAGTGGTAGTGGAATTAACAACATGGGTCTGAGCAGAATTGAATGCTTGAATGTTATCCAGTCTAACATTGTTCTCTCGTAGAAAGCGTGCAAGTTTCCTGCAAACACGAGTTTCATGCCCAGAATTGTGACAAAAACGATAGACCTTACCATTCCAATCTCAACTAGCAGGAAAACGACTCTGACTTCCAGTAGGCCGCCAATTTGAGTTAGCCATATTATCTGTCTTTGGGCCAGGAAAGGACCTCCCATTCTGGAAATTTTTCGGCCTATTCCGCTGCACCACATTCACTGTGGCCAATAGAGTTTGCTGCACCTCTTCATTACTCTTCATACAACGCTCACAGTCTAGTAAAATCTCACGGAGCGCAAAAAAAGAGATAGGTGTTTCTCTTGCATGGATTGCTGATGTGACCGAATGAAAGTCATCTCCTAATTGAGACAAGGTATGTGCAACCAGATCCTCATCTGCGACCAGAGCTTGAACTAAGGCTAAATTGTCAGCAAGTGTCTGCATCTCTTGCAGATAGTCAGAGATAGATTTTGACCCACGAGGATTGTTTGCAAGTTTGGACTTCAAAGATATGACACGACCACGAGAAGCATTGGCGAAGCTTGCTGTTAATTTCTCCCAATCGTTTGCAGCAGTAGTGGCTGAGGTAAGAACTGGCTGAATGGTGTCCGAACAACTCCCAGGAGTGCGCTAAGAAGAATTTGGTTTTGGCGATACCAACTTTGATAGGCAGGATTCGGAGTTGTACGTGCAGTATTCGAAAATGCCGCAAGAGCTGCGGTTGTTCCGTCAACGTAACCGGCTAGACCAAGTCCTATGAGCGTAGCGTAAACTTGCTTGCGCCAGACCGGGAAGTTGGTAGAAGTAAGTTTAATGCGGAAATTTGTTGGTGCTGATAGTTTAATGATAGAAGTTTCATTAGTGATTGCCATGAGATCACGCAAGGAAGGAAAGAAAAAAAAAAAATTACTCATTTGAGTATATTAGGCTCTTGATACCATATGAAGGTTTGAATAAGAATGTATTATTGAAAGAGAATAATACAGCATAATATATATAGCTATACACCAGGATTCTAAGGGAAGTTACAACAGATTGCATGCTCAGTCTAAGACTAACAAAATAGAGAAATAGTAGGACAACATTAGATAAATAGTACTAATTATAATTAGTCCTTAATACCGTATAGGGGTTTGTTCACCATAAAGGCTAACATTAGTATATATCGATCTATCTCTTCATAACCTGCCAATTTAACTATCTTTTCGTAAGAAATAATAGAACTACAGATTTCTACACCTGCAATTGGCAAAAGATAGTGAAAGATAACAATGACTAACATCATATTAAAATATAGACTTCTACACTTGCAAGATTAAAAACAATTCAACAAATATGATAAAAAGTTAAAAATTTGATAAAAAAAAAAATGCCACCAGGCATAATTGTCCACAATAAGAAAATATACTGCATCACAACAGTAGATTGTCACCACACAACCCACCCGGCACCCAAAAAAAAAAAAATTAAAACTTGTAACCAGGCATAATTGTTTTTGTAACACCACAAAAATGTACTGTATAAACCAACAGTTCATTTTAAAACAAATATAAATTTTACCTCTGCACACTTGGCCTTCCAATCTTTGGCAGTCATTCCCAATAGTTCATTGCATTCCCTGTCCCATAGCAAAATAGTTTCCTGTGTATATAAGTAAGATAAGATGCATTTTACTAATAAAAAGAAAAGAAAAGAAATCTGATGAACAGAATAAGATGCAAAAAAAATACCGCTTAATCATGGAAGACCATTTCTTTAGACTTGATGACATTGCTGCTTTTTCTTTCAGGTACGTTGTACTCACGAACCACTCAAAGCTTCATTACGCTCCTAATGTTGTAAGGAGAAATCTCATGACCAAGAATGTTGAGATTGGATGTGAATAGACTGCGATATGGTGGTGATTGAGTTTGAAACGAATACATGTATTTATATTATTACATCAAACATCTTTCTTCCAAACCATAATAATAATATAACCATAATTAAGTATTCTTCTATATTCTGCTACATTAAAAACGGAATGTATTATAATTAAATAATTTGACCATAATTAAATATTCTTCTATATTCTACTATCATCATTAATTATTCCATAGTCTACCATAATTAAATAATTTGATCAATACAATTAGTTTGGGCGGGAAAATGGTAGAAGGAGGATTTTACATATAATTATATATAAATTGACGGGAAATATTAAAAAATATGTTATTAATAATTAACTAATTGATATGTATTAAAAATAATTGACTATGATTAAAAATGGCACATAAATTAGGCCAATTGAAAAGGAAATGAATATTACTATTTGACTCAAAATTCTAAATAATCCCCGATTAACTATTTCAAAAAGAAAACAGATTAACTATAATATATGTATTATATGGGATACATATGAATCCGAGCTCATTCATTTTCCCAGAAAAAATAGTAATGCAATGGGCAATGGTCAATTGTATGTGGCTTTTCCCGAATCATCCATCCTGATGGCCTGAAGGTGTTAGCTCTAGACGAGGATGGACAAGATTCTGTTGCTACTACCAATGTCGTCTACAAAGAGGTTT